ATATATCAAAAAGTTGTGCCAAAGCGAGCCTAACTCAACAGTAATTGACATATATTTCCAATCAAAAAATTGTAAGTTCGATCTCTCAACCTCACATATTGTACTAAAAAATATCACCAACTATAATCACGTCGTGCRCATGCTATCAAATTTTTAGCTCAATGACTATGAATCGTCCGAGCATGTTGAAAAGCTATTATGTATGAAATTTATTATCTTCCCTTTCTTTCCTCTATCACTTTTCATTTTTCTTCCATTGTCTCTATATTCAGCAAATATAGAGAGAAAAAAAAAAGTTTCTTCTGCCCAAGGTCTCATATAAGTCACATTTTTCCTATGACATATTTTCTATTTCAAGTCAATTTTATCTTCATACCTCTCAAGTGAAACAATAGATAATAAAAATCTTTCACATATAAAATATCTTGGATCTTTCTATTACAAATTTGATAGTTAGAGTCTTTTACTAGTTTCCATCGTTCAACATAAGACCAAACTAATAAAAATTTTCGTTCCGATAAGGATAAACACTATATTTTAAGGACTAAATATCTCATCTTATGTAAATCTAATAGAAAATAAGCAGTATAATTAACAAAAACAAGTACAATACGCTTGCAATTTTATTGTGGAAAAATATATCCTTAAGGTCAACGTGGAAAAACTCTAAAGTATTTCAATTTGGAGGATTAAAATTCAAGTCCATAAACTCCTTTTATATTAGCTAGAACACACCTCCTCCTTGTACCTTTCCGACGTGGGACAACTTCTACTGCTTGGCGAACACACTGTTCCTTGTATCTTTTCGATGTGGGACAAACTTCAATTATAATATTTTGCCAAAACCTAACATCAAAAACAATAAATCTCGACAAATATAGATAAAAAAAATGAATTAGAAAGATCTCACTCCAAATGGCACCCAACTACCTACAAACATTTAATAGGCTCCAAAAGAAATCTGTATTATCCAAATTGAAGACGAGCATGTCATAAACACGACATCGACCACCAATTGGCCTCCACACGTGCTGAAAACTATTATCCACCGAATTTATTTTCTTTTATATTTTCTTTCTTTTTCCACTCTCTCACCGTCTCTTTCATCTTAATCTCTATTCCTGCTTCACTCCAAAATTAAATTAAAAATAAATAAATTAGAAAAAAAAAAAGAAAAAGAAAAAGACTAAGCCCATTTGGGCCTTAAATGTGGGCTTTCCACAAAAGTGAAAAATACCAACATAAAACCTATANATTTGGAGTTTGTTTGTTGTACAAGCACAATATATTTAGTTTGATTTATAATTTAATAAATCCTTTTTTTTTTTTGGAAAATGATTTATAATTTAATAAATAATACTCATGTTTTAAATCTATTTTAATCGTAAATTAAGTATATGAATCGTTTACCACAAATATTTACAAATTTGCTGTGATTTGAAACAATATTTATAAATCTGGTCATCGTTTTTAATAATTTTCTGTTTTGCTGTTAAAATAAATCTAACCATAATTTAAATTAAAAAAATATATAAATTTCATATTTATACAAGTCAATAATGAAAAAAGTGTTCGAGACAACTGCGAGATATTAGAATCTAGATTGATTTTGTAATATCTTGTATTTGACTTTTTGCAAATTTTTTCTTAAATTAGGCTTTTTTTAATAATATTTATATTATTTTAATCTTTATCGATAATTCATATCATACTTAATTATGTTATAGGCTTAGTTTGAGATTACCATCACTTTTAAAATAATTAATGTCAACTATACTTTTAGAAAAACCGTTTATAATGTGAATCAGATTAGTGTTTGATAAATTTAAATTTTAAATATAAAAAAGTTGGTTATAGTATTAGGTAAATTAATATTAAATTGTTCTGATTTAGCTAGATGGTTAATAAAATAGATACACTCTTAAAATTTGCACAAATGTGTTCTTAATTTATAATCCTTTTAAAAAAATAACTATTGAAAATTTGGATTTTTTTTAATAATAATTCATTTGAAACTTATTCCAAATATATATCAACTCCCAAACTATTTTAAAAAATAATGCTTTGGAAATTGTAAACGACTTATACCCTTCCCTAGTTGCATGGCGCCTCGCCGGCGTCGTGTGTTTTTTTTTTCTTTTTTCTTTTTAAATTCTGGCATGTTGTCTTTTGAGGAGACGACATATGCCAAATGATAACATATGTAATAATTTGCCATAGTGGTTGTTCCCTTATTTTTTAATCTAGATGTCCTGGTTCAAATCTCAATTATATCACTTTTTTTTTTCATTTTTATTCGATAGAATTTTATATTAAAAATGTAATTAATTATTTTTACTTTTAAATTATAATTACTACATTAATGTAATTCATTTCATTTACTTAATTTGTAAAATAAAATCTATCTTTTTTTAGACAATATATTTTTAATCGTAATTTCTTTTTAGAATTAGCAGTTGTTTTGATAATATATTTTAATAGTAATTATTTTATTTTATTTTTATAGAATTAGTAGTTGGTTTATTCTAGAAAATAAAATTTGAATAAGTAACATTTATTTACATTTGTTTAAAAGATAAATAATTACAATATAATTGATTTTATTTAGTTGTATATGTCGTCTCTTCATGTCAGAATTAGAAAAAAAAAATGCATGGCGCCACCAAGGTGTCATGCAACTAGGGAAGCGTGGGGTGGCATAGGTCGTCTCTTCAAGAGACGCCTTACAATTTCTCCTATAATTTCTAAAGTATTATTTTTAAAAATAGTCTGAGAGTTGATATATATTTGAAATAAGTTTCAAAGGAAACATTATTAAAAAAAAATCCTCGAAAATTTTATATGATTTACGTTTCCTCCAAATTATTTGCTAAATATCATGAACAAAATAATTGGTAGAATAATATATATTTTAGTTTGGTTGTGTGAAAAAATATACGAGATATATGGAATGAATTTTAAATTTGCGAAAATGAATAAAATTATTGTTGTAAACTTTGTAAACAAGAGGCATCTGATTCTATTGGAAATCAACTTCTAAGGGTCTCTTTTGGTAGTTTAACAATTTTTCGAGAGAGTGATTTGAAATCTTACGTGATTTTAAGATGAGTTTTCATGTAAAAAGTTTGTTGATAAGAAACATTGGATTTTGAAGATTTCGTTGTAAAATCATTTTTCGAATTTCAAATAATTTTTCTTTTTTAACTTTCTCGGTGCCAAAAGGTAGGTGGCAAGTTTGTAAATTAAGGTATTTTAAAAAGCGATTTTGAATAAATTTATTCGCAATCAACCGTAATCATTATGAACATAGATGGGTTGTGATGTTCAATCTCCCATCCCCTTATAATCAATTATATCAAACATAAAAAGTTAGGAATTTTTCATATCCACTCTCAAAATTCATCTCAAGTGGAATCGCGGAGCATAGCTCAACCCTTATTGGAATCACCAAAGCAAGTACAAGTCAGCGGGTTATTGACATATATCTCCAACAAGAGACTATGAATTCGATCCCCTGTGTACTAAATAAAATCTCTAAGTGAAATCACAGACCTAAAATTTACATTCATATTGTATTTTATATATAAAAATAATTATTTCTTATATGCCCTTTTTGTTAACTTAAAATATATTATTTTATGAAATTTTCAAGATATTATTTAATCCATAAAATTAGGTATTCAAGCTTTTAAAAATATTTGAATATCTACCTTTCAACAAGCCATTAATTCGTAAAAATATACGGTTTAGCCCCTAACATTCGATTGTTTTTCAATTTGGTTCCTAATATTCTAAAAATTTCAATATCATACTTGATACCTTGATTTTATTTTTTAGGAGTATACCAATATTTTAAGGGATCAATCTGTGTAATAGTAAACCACTTTAATTATGTGAATTGAGTTACTAATATAAATAAGTTTTAAATTTTACAGAGGAGTGTAGTATGTTCATTTGATCCAATTAAATCATTGAGTAATTTTAACTCAATTAATATAGTGTATTTTTACATTACATCCTCATGGATTTATCAATTATGTTTGGTGATAATAATAATTTAATTGGAAGAAAATAATTTAATCATATAAACTGAACAAAAACTAAAACTTACAAATGTCGTCTAAGACAACCAATAATGACATGTTTGATCATAACTAAATCTATATATCTTTCTCGACTAAACACACAGTACTCAATACTCTCTTTATCAAATGGGAAATAAGAGAACTGAAATATTTTTAACGTATTGGAGACCATAACCCTTGGATTTTATGTACAGACCATTTCGTGAACTCTCATTAAGCCCAATAAGAATAAATGGATATCAAACTAAATAAAAGTCTACGCTTAATAAAAGTAAATGAACCCATTACTTACAAATCACTTTAGTTGGCCGATCAAATAGCCCAATAATAATTATATTAATTTGTGATCCAAATCTCGCACTTGGACTACATATTAATTATATTACCAATTCCTTAGTGCGCAACTTTAGGTTATTTACTAACAACTTTCCTTTAGAACAATCTCGTCTATTTCCTGTAATGGTAAAGGATTAGGGCGATTTTTGCTATCTCATAAATATAGCTAAACCTTCCCTAATCACATTACTAATACATTCAACGACATAGATCGAGCATTTCAGGTGGCATGAAAATTGCACGTTAAGTGACCTTACCTGCCAATTTTCAACTAGTCAAACTTTAATGAAATCACATCAGTTTTCATAAACAAATAGACATATCATCGTATGTATAACCAAGGCTCAGGAACAAACTATATCACAAACATATTTGTTACGTAGAAAACATATTTACCTTTTAAAAATAGTTATAGATTCAAATTTCTACCCATATCTATGACAAAATGTTTTAAAAATCATAGATGACTAGATTTAAAGCACAAGTGACATGCTAATCTGAACATAACTTATCTCGATAAGTCAGATCGGGACTTCAAATCGCTGTTGGAACATGTTATTCTGCCAAAAAGAAAAAAAAAAGCATTGGTGGGCAGAAAGATATTGATATATTAATGTCATATGAACACCAGTTTGGATGAATAACACATTTGCAATCTAGCAGCTGCCATGGAAGAACCTTGGAAATTAGTGCCCGAAGATCATATTCTAATATGACATGTATTCCCCAAATCGTCTGTTTCGGAACGTGAAGCGGCGTTGTTCCCTGTTTGCTTCATGCGTCAGTTCCTTCCGCCGGGTTCCCTCCCGGCTTTCTCACCGCCCACCCTCCCACAACTCACCGGAATTCAAATTCTGAATTTTTTGCATTCGAAAATCGATTCCAATCGTCACCCAATTCTCCTTTTTTGTTGATTTTGATTTTACGTATTGTGGGCCTCTGCTAAACTAACCAATCACCAACCGACCTCGGACTTGGGAGTAATTGGGCTATGGCGGAAGGAGAATTTTCCGATCAGAATCGTCTTCTTAGATCCATGGAGGATCACAGTGGGGAAGATCATGATTTGGAATCGCAGGATGGAGTTGGAGTTCATTTCCATAGGAATAACAGTGGAAAACGAGGTGGGTTTCTGGATCTGTTTCAGCATCTCAATCGAGGCAACAGCTTCTCCGGTCGTCGTCTTAGTTATAAGCGGATTGAGATGGATAATCATAACGTTAATTACAACCCCTCTTCTGTTAATATCATTGGTCGAAGTCGTGCGGCTTCTACTTCTTCCGATCGTCACAACAATTTCAATTCTCATCCTCACCATGCCCCCACTGCAATCGATGGTGAAATCGACGACAATCTTGATGATACTGCTCCGCCTGAATGGGCTTTGCTTCTTATTGCCTGCCTCCTCGGCCTCGCCACCGGTCTTTGTGTTGCAGCTTTTAACATTGGGGTTAGTTTCACTTCAATTTGCCTGCCTTACCGTTATGATTCGTGTCTGCTACAGTAGTGCAACATTTTTCTTCCTGTCTTCATTTTTTTTTTGTTACTAATTACTCGATTGCTGTCCAACTAACTATTCAAAATTTTACCTGTTATTTGTTCAATTGGTTGGTGAAGATGTTTGCATTTAAGGATGAAACCGTTGCTGTAGGAGCCTATTTTAGGCTCAGCTGAATCCCGAATGTTCTTAGTCACCACCTGTTACAATGCCTCTAATATTAATAACGGTTACGATGAGATCATTGGCGTTAGTGACTTTGTGTGCCATGTCTGTCTTCCCAATCCACCTTCCGGAAAAAAAAAAAGGAAAGAAAATAAAGCTAATATTTTCTAACTACATTGTATTTTCAACTCATAAGCTCAGGTTAACCTTTAATTGCTAAGATAAGTCTTTGCTAGCAGCCTTCTTGAATCAGTTTTAGTGACTTCATTAACTTGTTGCTAAATGCAATTGGCCTCTTGGATGAACTATTTGTAATCTCCACTGGCTTGCGTTGGCTTTCCTCCGCTTTTACTTATTTATTTTTAATTTTCATTCTTTCAATGTAAATATGCTTTGTATTAAAGAAAAAGCTCAATTGAGCACTCAGATAGGTCAGGAATAAGCACTATGCAAAATTTGCTGATGCCACGGTTCTCAAGTAGGTACATGTAATCCATGAGTGGGCCTGGGCTGGCACTCCAAATGAGGGTGCTGCTTGGCTTCGGTTACAGAGAATGGCTGATACTTGGCATCGCATTCTTTTGATACCGGTAACTGGAGGTGTTATAGTGGGTATGATGCATGGTTTGCTTGAGATACTCTGCCAAATAAAACAATCAAGTTCTCCTCAAAGTCAAGGATTTGATTTACTTTCTGGAGTCTTTCCTACAGTTAAAGCCATTCAGGCAGCCATCACTTTAGGTACTGGCTGTTCACTGGGTCCTGAAGGACCAAGTGTAGATATTGGAAAATCATGTGCCAATGGATTCTATCTTATGATGGAAAACAACAGTGAAAAGATAAGAATAGCATTTGTTGCAGCTGGTGCAGCAGCAGGAATTGCTTCAGGTATTAGACTTCTTCCTATAAATTATCTGTAAACATTGATTAGTCTTTGTATGCTATTTTGATTCTGATGGAAGTAATTCTTATATGTAACTTGAACAATATCTGGTTTCACTTTGTTTTGTTCTTTCCTTTTCATAGAGCCATCTACTCGTGCAGTGGCTAACTTGTTGATGTTATTTTCTTTTAGGCTTTAATGCAGCCGTTGCGGGTAGCTTCTTTGCAATAGAAACTGTATTAAGACCTCTGCGTGCAGAAAATTCCCCTCCATTTACAACTGCAATGATCATATTGGCATCTGTTATATCTTCTACAGTCTCTAATGTTTTACTTGGCACACAGTCTGCTTTCACAGTACCTGCTTATGATTTAAAATCTGCTGCTGGTATTTTTGTCACTCTCACCCTTCCTTTGATCCTTCCAATTATCTAACATCATCATAGGTTTAATAGGCTTTTTCTGGGTGAATGATACTGTTTATGCGTGTCATAATCTATTCCATCCTATCTTATTTATTTACTATTTGACGAGGAACATAACAAGCTTCATTAATCTTGAGAGAAGAGGTACAAATAGAGGACGAGAGAAATAAGATATCCCTTGTTAAAACCTAAATCTCATAAGTTTGTAAAAAATAACCACAATCAAGATTAATAAAAAATGAGTGTGCTGAATCTAAGGGTGGTTTGATGTTGGAAGCTCATCCTTTTTCTAAGAATGGCTCAATGATTGGTGCCATTAATGTGGTTGCCGGTCCAGCTTCAGAGTCCCTTCCAGAGAAAGGAAATCAATTGTTGGGGTTACCGGTTATCTTTCGATTTGATTTCTTTCTTTAAAGGACAAGAAGCCCCTTCCATTGGAGACTGATTTTCAGATAATGGAATTGACTGCAATGTTAGTGTTACTTGTATCAATTCAGATGATGGGCCCTCTATTGCAAATGATGCGCCTTTGGATTTTTTTAAGGATCCTTTATTATTATTTTTTATGGTGTGGGTTCTCTCTTTATTGATGATCAAGCTTTGAACGATCTTCCTCCTCCCTCTCTCGGTGAAGCCTTCCACGATCTTGGGTTTATTGATTGAGGTCTTAAATAGGATTCTCCGATCGTTAGGAAAGGAAGATTTGTTATATTACTTTGGTCAATTGGTTATCACTTTAGTACCTAATATTCCCAAGGGGACTAGGGCTTGATTTCTTTCTCTCTCAAGATCAAGTGCTGGGATTGGCAATTTTATTTGTGGGTGGTTTGTTGTTTTGTTGGTAGGGGTGTGCTCTCATTAGAGTTTCATCTTGAGCTGCCCTTTGTTGTTTTTGTGGTTGAGTTTGTTCACGGGGCTTTTGCGTTGGTGTTGTTTGAAGTTCTTGTTGGTGGCTATTTGTGGAGTTTATTTTGGTGTAAGCGTTTGTGGAAAGAGGTTCTTTTTTTGGTTTGCTTTCATTATGGGCCATTGTCTTTTGGATTTATTAGAGATGTTTTATGTCCCTTGTTTTGTTTGCTTTATTGTTCTCCCTCCCTTGGTGAGGTTGTATACTTGTACATATTGTTTCTTTTTATTAATATTGTTTCTTCTTTAAAAAAAATAAGAGAAATTACAAAATTCTCCATGGCATTCTAAATGGANGTTTAGTTGCCAAAAATATTGGTTTCGCGTAGCTATTTGACTTCATGGGTCTTTTTTTTAAACATGATACTAACTTATCATTGAAATAATGAAAATGAATAAAATTGTTCAAAGATACAAACTCTCGAAAGAGTGAAGATATAACTGAAAGATAAAAATAAAAATTCTAAAAAGATGCCACAAAAGCTCCCCAATTAGAGTAAATCAGACTAGGAGAATAAAATTTAAAAATAGGGGATAAGAAAATTTAAAAAGAGGGGATAAGGAACTCCATTGAGAGGCCTTGAATCTAGCAAAGTTGAAATGAGCTGAAGGAGACTGCCTCTTCTCTTTAAAGATTCTAAGATTATAGTCTAGTGGAGAAAGAATATATTGAATTCTAGAATGATTTGATAGTATTCTATTTTCCCTCTTGAGTCAATCAATCCAAAGTATGACCAACGCAAACCAAAATTGAAGAACATATGGAACTGCAACCACATTTAAAAAACAACGCAGATTAAATCTTGTTCAATTAGTCTCTAGCCTCCTAAACTATTTTTTTCAATTTATTTTTTGGCCTCAAGTCCAATGGACAATGGATTTATAAGATATTTCTTATGGGAATATGCTGGCTCTCTCGGAAGTTGCCATCAAATTTGGTGGGACTTAGTCAATCTTTCCCAGAGATCTTAATGCTATTGGCTTTGCTAGATCTAAGGAGAATGAGGCTCTTTTTCGGAAATGGTCGAGGAGATTTTACAAGGGCCAAAATAGTTGTGTACTCCGGTGATATGCTTATTTATAGCAAGTCTATGACCGAACACATAACACTCTTACATCACTGTTTTCCACTCTAGCATCACAAAAACTTTACATTAACATAAAAAAGTGCCTATTCCTTGTCCCTGAAATCTCTTTCCTAGGCTTCATCATTGGAAATGGTACAAAAATAAACCCTAAGAAAATAGTAGCAATTTCTGAATGGCCACAACCTAAAACAGTAAGAGATATTCAATGCTTGCTTGGTTTAGCCTCTTTATATAGGAAGTTTATCAAACACTTCAGCACCATTACAACCCCATTAATCAATTGTCTAAAGAAGGATAAGTTCCAATGAGGGAGGACCAAACTACATATACCATCTTTGTTTCTTA